CTCATAGAAATGTTTTAAAATATAATGGTATATTTTAAATACTAAACATTATTTATAATAATGTCATCGTTCAATTTATTTGTACATAAAAAATTTATTATTGGATTATCTTACACGTATCTTTATATATTTAATTTTTTATAATAAGAAAATGGGAATAATTAATCTTTTTTATATTTTTGTCTCGTGAAAATAATATCATCTCTGCACATGCAGTTCCAGTAATAATAACGAGAGGGATTATTTTTTCTTTTTTGTGCACAGAAAAAAACCAGGTCTCAAGAAAACGAACGTGAGACATCAAAAAGCAGAGTTTGAGAGCAAAAAGAACAGAAACCAAAGAGCGTCGAGAGAAGAAGAAGGTGGAATTTTCTATTCTCTTACTTAAATTTAAATATAAGCATCAATCTCCAGTTTTCTTTAATCAATTTTAGTTCTTTATTTCTTACTTGCGGTTACAACAAACATGAGAAATTGTAAAAAGAAGAAACAAAATTACGGGTACTTGTTAATATCATTTTCTTTTCTCATTTTTATTTCCTCAGTTTTCACTGTTTTGAAATTTTTTTACCAATTTTTATATCAGAAGCTGGAAATCGTATTCGGGTTTTAGCAAAATTTCTGTTGCAATAAGATCTATTATTGATTTTGATATAATCTTCCCTTAATTTTGGTTTTCATTTTCGGTAATTCTTTGTTTTGTAGGGTCACAATGGGAATTCTGTGATAAAGGCTGCTCTTCCTTATTGGGTTTATCAGTTTTATATCGTCTGGTTTCGACAAATTTGCGGTTTATGGAATCAGCCAGTTGATTCGAGTGCGGGAATTTTGGATTCTGGGAAATTTGGATTTAATTGTAATTTGGGATCGGTTTCAGTCGAAGCACAAGAGATGGCAAAGTGCCAGTCATCACTGTAGGGAGTTAAAGACGATATCAAGTTCTCGGTGATTATACTCTTTCTCGAACTTGTTTTTTCTGTTTGCTTATTCAATCTTATTTCTATGCTTAATTGTGCATTGGTTGCTCAAATCTTATTCAATCCTATTTCTGTGCTTAATTTCTCGTTGGTTGCTCAAACATGAAACTATGCTTTAACTATGCATTTTGTTTGTCTGTTCGTCTCCTCTTACACTATATGTTATATTCTGTTTTTCTGGATTTTTATTTCACGTGGCTGTTTAGATTATTTGCATGTGGATTTATAGCAATCAGTAGTCTTTGGATTTTAGATAACTCGCCTGTGGATTTATAGGGTTTGATGTGTGGTCGTTTCTGTTTGGTTTGCAACTTTTAAGATTTGTTGTGGATTTGATTCTCCCCAGGAACTAGACTACTGGATTGCAGTGAACCTTGTGATAGTGGCAAATGAGTGTTTCATAATGAGCATGCTCGGGTGGGAAAGTTGTCGATGGGCACCCCTGACAACAAACTATCCGAGCTTGTTGACATAGTGAAATCCTGGATCCCTCGGAAAACTGAGCCAGCAAATTTGTCAAGGGATTTCTGGATGCCCGATCAGAGCTGTCGGGTATGTTACGAGTGTGACTCCCAGTTTACAGTTTTTAACCGCAGGCATCATTGTCGACTTTGTGGCCGAGTTTTTTGTTCCAAGTGTACTGCAAACACCATTCCGGCACCATCTGATGAACCAAGTACTAGCCGGGAAGAGTGGGAGAGGATCAGGGTATGTAATTATTGTTTCAAGCAATGGGAGCAGGGGATAGCACCTGTTGATAATGGGACGAGTGTGCCCAGTTCTGGTCTCAGTCCATCACCATCTGCTACAA